TATTCTCCACCTCTATGACTTCTTATTTTCTTGATTTTTTACCAAGTTGATTTTCAACTTCATTCTTATATTGAATGAAAGTTTCCAAAACTTCATCTTTGGTTCGAATTAAATAAACATAACTATATCAAGTATAGTCATCTATAAAAGTGATAAAATACTTTTTCCCACCTCTGGTTTGAATTGATTTAAAATCACATATGTCACTATGAATTAATTCAAGTGGTTCCGTACTTCTTTCAATTGTATGAAAAAGAGTTTTAGATAATTTTGCCTTAACACAAATTTCACATTTATGATTTGAATCAATGTCAAATTTAGGTAAACATTCCATATTAATTAATCTACGCAAAGATCCATAATTAACATGCCCTAATCTACCATGCCATAAATTTGAGGACTCAAGCAAGTAAGAAGAAGATGTATTTTTATTAATGACTGAGGGTAAAACGGTCATTACATTCATCTTGAAACGGCCATCAAACATGTAACTTTTCCTACATACATCCCGTTTTTGGTAAGTACAAACTTGTCACTTTCAAAAACTAACCTAAACCCATTCTTACTCAACAAAGATCCAGAAACTAAATTCTTGCGAATGTCCGGTACATGCAGCACATTGTTGAGAGTGAGTTCCTTTCCTGATGTCATCTTCAGTACAATCTTTCCTTGTCCTTCAACTTTGGAAGTTGAGGAGTTGCCCATAAAAAGTTGTTCACCGTTGTCCACTGAAGAACAAGATGTGAACATCTTTTTGTCGGCACAGATATGGCGAGTAGCACCAGTGTCCACCCACCATTCTTTAGAATTTCTGACAAGATTTGCCTCGGGAACAACTGCAGAAAGATTTATGGCATCTACACCATTGGAAATTATATCCATTTCGGTTATATCGACTTTAGTAACCTTCTTACTTGTTCTTCCTTTACCTTTGCAAAAATCAGTTCTTGAGAACTTCTCTAGTTTTCCACCATGATTTACTGGCACAGTCCCAACATAAGGAGAGGTTGGCATAATGGCAATCACCATACCAGTACTGGTTTGAACATTAGATTGACCAGTTTTAGTAGTCATAAATTATAAATTATAAAATAAAATTAGAATTAGAATTTTATACTACAAAGAAAATTTAAACCAAAAAACACAGAATTTTAAATTCTGTAAAAATAAAAGAAACAAGAATTGTAACTTTTATTTCCAATTAATTTGAAAAATAAAATAAAATTTTATTTAAACAAATTAAACCAAAACTACAGAAATAAATTCTGTTAAAATAAAAGAAACAAAACAAAATGTAACTTTTATTTTCAATTAATTTGGAAATAAAATAAAATAAAATTTTATTTAACCAAATTAATTCCACACAGAAAACTAATCCAAATTTACAGAATTAAATTCTGTAAAAATAAAAGAAACAAGAATGTAACTTTTAATTTTCAATTAAGTTGGAAATAAAATAAAAATTTATTTAACAAAATAATTCCACACAGAAAATTAAATTTTGTAAAATAAAAGAAATAAGAATATAACTTTTATTTTTTCAATTAATTTGGAAATAAAATAAAATTTTATTTAACCAAATTAAGTTCACACAAAAAATTAAATTTCTGTAACACTTCAATAATTAAAATACTGAAACAGAATTTTAATTAATGAAAACTCAGAAAATAATTTCTAAAACCCAAAATTAATTTTCTAACAAAATTTCACAAAAATATAGTCTGAATTGTTAATGACACCAGTATCGTACTACTAATTGTCAAAGAAAATAGACAGTATATTACTACTATCTGTCAAATAGCATATAATCACTATTTATTTTTCCAACCAGAATATTATTTTGTAAATCCACAGAAAAATAATTTTCTTAAAAACGAAGAATGAAAAAGGAAAACAAACGAAAAATTCTGTAAACAGAATAATTCGAATCTGTCTTAAGATTGTTGGAACAATCTTCTGTGTATATAAAATAACTTGAAATAAATTCAAACAAAATAAATAAATAACATACCAGATTTATTTATCGAACCGAATTAAAATTAAGACCAAGTCGAGTGTGTGACACTCTATCCTTAAGACAGATTCGCCCCGCTACGGTATTTACGGTTGAGTGGCGTCTATCTCCCAGGATACAATAATCTTCACAAATTGTAGTAGTGCACCAAACAATCTGTTCGGCGAACCAAACCTTGTGTTCTTACTCTCTGAATTTTATACTAAAACTAATATGAAGAATAATGCAAAAATACAGAATTTAGGACAGCAACAAGACAATAATCAAATTGAATTTTCGGGTTGTTGGATTGCTGGATTTATGGCTATATATATAGGCAAAAACTCTGCCCCGAACAGGTTCCAAAACAAATTGAAAAGGTGCACAAAAAAGTTAGAACCGTTGCCTGAACTCTTTTTCAAAAAGATTGAAAAAATACCGTTGGTAAGAACAGTTTTGAACCAATTTGAAAAGTGATCCGTGAACTCTTTTGGACCTTTATAATTTAAACAATTGGAAAAGAACCGTTGGACAAAGTGAACTTTATTATATAAACTATTTCGAATAGGGTCCAGCTTGTCTCAAGTTGAGATCAAGACTGGACCCGTCCAGTTCGGCCCATGGGACTCATTTTTTGGACCCGTTTTAATAATCTGAACCGTTCAATGTGTAGAACTTGTCGAATACTACATGCCTACAAAAAATCACGTTGATCGGATATCAATAGCTATGTGATCAAATCAGTTTTGTATAAAAGAAAAATGGTCGGTGAAACAATTAATGGTTGATAAAAAACTATTTTGTTCATATAGCTATCGATATCCAATCAACGTGATTTTTTACAGGCATATAGTACTCGACGAGTTCTACACATTGAACGGTTCAGATTGTCAAAACGGGACTCGTGGTGGGCCCCCACGAGCCCAACAGCACGGTCTAGTCCGATCTTGGACTGGACCAAAACCACTGCCTTTGGAATATATATACATATATTAAACTATTTGAATATAGATATATATTAAATTATTTGAATAGTTTAATAAATAAAGGAAGAGGTACAAATTTTAAAAAACCACTTAGGAACTCAAAATTTGAATTTAGAATTAAATTAAATTAAATTCCCACAATTACAAATTTTAGGAAACCACTTAGGAACCCAAAATTTGAATTTAGAATTAAATTAAATTTCCAGAATAATTTTTATTGAAAAATTCAAAAGAATTTTATCTAAAAAATTAATGTAAAATCCGAAAACGACGTCAACTTCTCATTCACTCATAAATGGTTTTAACGTTCCGTCTTCACCGTGTGACTTGCTACGCGGCAAGGAACAAGTCACCTCTTCGGACTCACCCCAAAAGACGTTTGGGGCCCACTCAAATTTGGACTAAAAATATGCCTATATTAAACCATTTTTTCTAACAACATGTTGATCATATATCATTGCAAATCTATTCTATAAAAGTCTAATGTTATAATTTGAATCATCATTGTTTTTTTCATCTTCATCATATGAAAATTCATCAACATGTATATTAGTAACATTTGTACCAAAAGTGTGAATAGCTTTTAGTTACAATGCAAGGGTTTTCCATTGTCTGACATATTAGGAAAGAAGAGCAAGAAAGAAAAAGTAAAGATAAGATAGTGACACTATATTATAATGGTATTGAATACCTCATTCTTGCTTAAATCTTTTGAATAATTTTGAAATGTGCACGTGAAAACAGTGAGAGCTCTCAACTCAACCATAGGTGTTTTATGTATTCATGATCTTCTGTTTTAATATGCTTTTTTAATCATCAGATTATGCTTTAATTTTTAATTTTTATTTGCATATATTTTAAGATTTTTACACGATTCAGTGATTTAGAATGCATTAAAACAGAAGACAGAAATTTAAGAAAGAGAAATTTCTAGTCATATTTATGAATTTTATTTTGTACACTTTTCTTTTTTAATAGTGAAATTCAAAATCAGTTGATCCAAATGAAAGAGTCAATCAAAAAGGTGTGTAAATTGTTTTGAAGTATTTATATTATAAAACTTGCCAATAATGAAACTCAAATGGAATATAGGGGAGAAAAGTATTATTGTTAATTAATTAAACACCAACCATTATTATGAAAAGGTACTCCCAAAAAAAAAAAAATTAAGAAAATAGAGGAGCATGGTGGATGTCTGTTGGAGAGGGAGCATGGTTCCCCACACCAAGGCCTCATTTGACATGAGGCACGTTCTGTTTGCCTCTTCTCTTTCGCTTTAACTTTTTGTTTGGTTGAGTGGCTTTGCACTTTTCTGTTGATCAACACTACCCATTATCAATTGTTATATTATATTAGGTGCCTTAATTTCTAGGTTGTGCTTGAATTGAGAGAATTTTAGGTGATGTGAGTCTCGTTTAAGTTATTTGAATAATTTATTTGGTAAAGTTTTATATATATTTATTTATGAAAAAAATTAGATCGATTTAATAATTATAATTTTTTTTATTTTAGTGTATTTGTTTTTTTTTATAAAAAAAAAAAATAGATTATTTTTTTAAAAACAGACGTGATAACTAAAAAAATTACAATTATCATATTGCCTCAATTTTTTTTATAGATAATATAAACTGAGAGTCTTATAAAATAAACAGTTCAGATACCCGTAATGGGCCTCGAATATTCTCTCAAGTTGAATTCCGATCATATTTCTAATTATTGTGCATCATTTCGTAAGTTGAAAACATCCTATCCCACTTGCATCAGTGCCCAAAAAAACACAAGAATAAGAGCCTGTCCTATCCTATCCATGGGGCTGTAAAGAGTTGATTTTGAGTCCAACTAGTGAATTGTTCAACAATTTAGTAAGTTTCAACGTATGTATATCTGGACTTATTTTTTTATCCTTTGAATATATTTTAAACGAGTTTTAATTAAATCTATCATTAGCCCGTTAGCTTAGTTCACATATCAAATAGTCCAACCTGCATGACATACGCATGTTTTCAAAATTCATGCAAAACAAATGAAAACAGCAATTGAAATATGATCATTTCCCAGACCTCTTGTTCTATACAATACATAAAATTCTAAAGATTCATAAAATGAAAATATGCCACCAACAAGACATATCCACCCAAACCTTTTTTCCCCAAAACTAAACATACAAATACAAGTACACCCAAACCTAATCCAGACAAATCCTTCAAAACATCATTACAAATTCTTCAAATCTTAGCTTTCTTAAAAATGTATCCTACTAGGTTGTGCCTTCTCCATCCGAGTCTCGCCATAGGGCTCATCATTGTCGATCCTACGATTATGCCTAAACGCTACACAAGCGACCACATAAACGATGAGTAGGATGATTAGGATGATGATGTTGATGATGGAGACCTTCCTCCAGCTCTTCTTGACGCTGGCTAGCACGCCGGCTTTGCAGGAGCTGCAGTCGTAGCAGAGTTGTTGTTGGTCGTTGTTCCACTTGGAGCAATCAGTATTGGTTCCCACTCCTACTCCAGTGGTCCAGTACGTCTCGTTCATGTACACATACCCGCATTCTGTTGGGGGCTTGCAACATCCAGACTGGCACAGATCAAATCAAGAAGTTTAAGTTCAACCCAAAAAAAAAATTTGTTTCAGAATGCTATCCAAATAGAATTTTCATAGAAAACTATCAGGCCCATCAATTTTATTTTATTTTTTTATAACTCAAAACAAAGTGACCATAATATGGAGTGGATTTCATAGTTGTTGAATCATGCCTTTGGCATAGAGAAATACAAAGATTTAGAACAAATGATCAAAAAGGGAAAGACTATGGTAATTAAAAAAAAAATGACATAATTCTATACTTTTTGAGTCGTAGTTTTTTTTTATAAAAAAAATCATAACCAAATACTACATGAGGCATAACCAAACATATTAAAATAATATCATAACTAAAGAAGAAAATTAATTATAACTAAATAAGAAAATGGCATAACTAAGAGTGCATATAGTAAGGGGATATCTTGTAAAATTTTCCAAAAATAAATGACAAGTATATTTTTAAAAATAGACTATCCATTTTGTTAAAGATAAAAGCAATAAAATGAAAAAAATTATGATTATTAAATTGACTTAATTTTTTTCATAGATAATATACATGGAAGATCTTAAATGGTTCGAATTATCAAAACGGAACCCGTAACAAACCTCTCAAGCTTTCTCAATTTCATATTTAAACATGAGAAAAATCTAACTCGCAATTTTAAAGGCCCACAAATTGATAAAGAACAAACAAAAGAGTATGGAGCATATTGGTGGACCATAATTAAGTCGGTTGGTTTATCTATGCTAAGTTTGGTAGAGTGAAAAGTGGAAAAGATAAAAAGGGAGAGTGAAATGGTTTTTTTTTTTTTTTTTTTTACAACAATAATAGAGGGTTCTAAATTTAGAGTTTTAATGATGTGGTAAGAAAAAATATATATAAACACACACATCATATTACGGCGCTGTTTGGGAAGCTGCCAACGAGGCTATTATAGCCTCATTTGATAAATAAGCCAAAAATGGCACTGTTCACAGGTTTTAAAAAATAAAAAAATAAAAAATAGGCACTGCGCTGGACACGGCACAGCCGGAAAGTGATAAATCAATGGGAAAATTATCATTTTGCCCCTTTATATTAATTTAAAAAATAAAAAGTTAGCGATAAATTTGTCATTTTAAATTTAAACATCATTTCAACACACTTTCCAATACAAGAACCCAACTAAAAATTCATCTCATCTTCCCAAACACAAAACTAAAATAGCCTACTAAAATAGCCAAAAAGCCAAATAGCCTACTAAAATAGCCACTTCCCAAAACGAGGCCTACATGTGAACCTCATTTCTTATCACATCATTAGAACTCCTTTTAGAGTTTCAAAATTAAAGCGGAAAATTCTTCTTTTGTTTGGTAGGAAGGAGAGAGGTTGGAGAGTTGGCCCACCAAAAACAATATCAGCCTACTTTTGCAATTTTAATTACATTGAGAAAAAATATTTAGAAAAATGTTTCAAATTTAAAATCGGTGAATGAAGTTTAAATTTATGTATAAATTAAAATTCTAAACACATTTTGTAAAATTTTTGTCCCCAAAGTGGAATAGTATTACTATAACAAAATGAAAAAATAGGAGGGAGTTATTTGGAGAATTTTAGTGCTGAAATTACTCTTTTGCACTCATTTTGAAGGTAAAATTTCACAAATATATTTTATTTTTTAGAATTCAAAATACAAAACATATATATATATATATATATAGTGGTACTCTTAAGTGTAATATGGGGAAGGAAGTCGCTACGCAACGGGAGTGGGTGAACTAGCAATGGAGCACAACCACCTAAGCTTGTCAGAGTTTATATTTGAATGGAGGAAATTCATCTTAAATGATGTCGGCATGGCATAATACATCCTTGGAAAAAAGGGGCAATTATAATAATAACTTGGGTTACTTACCCTTACAACTCGTGCATTTTTATAAAAATGACATGTTTTAAATAATAATATCAAGCGATCATGCTACGTAGCTCGAATGCCGCGGCTCGACACCAAAACGAGGCTCGACACCAAAACGACGTCGTTTTGGTGTCGATTTTGGTTTTGGTGTCGAGCCGCGGCATTCGAGCTACGTAGCATGATCGCTTGATATTATTATTTAAAACATGTCATTTTTATAAAAATGCACGAGTTGTAAGGGTAAGTAACCCAAGTTATTATTATAATTGCCCCTTTTTTCCAAGGATGTATTATGCCATGCCGACATCATTTAAGATGAATTTCCTCCATTCAAATATAAACTCTGACAAGCTTAGGTGGTTGTGCTCCATTGCTAGTTCACCCACTCCCGTTGCGTAGCGACTTCCTTCCCCATATTACACTTAAGAGTACCACTATATATATATATATATATATGTTTTATTGGGGGTGTTCCTGAGTCTGCTGAGTCCTTCTACCTCAGAAAGCTCAACCCTATTCAGGTATTATACCTTTTCTATTTTCTTTTTAATCTGTGTTTGGTTAGTTAGAAAATTAAAATGAAAATTAGCATATTTGTTTTTTTTAAATAAACAGAATCGAATTCAAGTTCTGGTAAAATCATAATCGACTCTTCTTTGAGAGGACGAAGGAGTTGCTCGAGTGTTTGATATTAGAACTACCCAAGTATAATATTATATGTATCCTATCCCAAAAATATGTAACATTAATCATAAATTAAATAATTTTATTATAAATTAACGTAATAAAAATGTTTAAAATTTTGTATGAGCAAAAATTTGTGATTTTATTACGGTTTTTTATTATATTAATTTATGACGGGATTACATATTTTATAATTGTTATTATAAAATTTTGTAATAAAATTATATATGTTTATGGTGGGATCGTATCAGTTGATGTTTTATTAGGGGGTCCACTTGGATTAGGCATTAGATATTTTATTTATTATTTATTATTTATTATTTATTTTTATTTTTATTTTTATTTTTATTTTTGAGAGTAAGATATTTTCTACTTTGTGGATTATTATGGTGGGTCCTCTTTTTTCTATAACCAGGGAAGTGTAAACAATTAGGTGGATGTTACAAAACGACAGCGCTTTACCCTTTTCCCATGCACAATGCAAGTAAGGTGCACAAAACAGTGCAATGCGCAAAATAGCACGAAATGAAATGCAATGCACTAACAAGTGCAGGTGGGATACGCAAGATAGTGCGAATGATACAATGTAATGCACAAAACAGTGCGACGCATAAGAAAGCGCGAAAGTTAATAAAATCACAAATTTTTGCTCATACAAAATTTTAAACATTTTTATTACGTTAATTTATAATAAAATTATTTAATTTATGATTAATGTTACATATTTTTGGGATAGGATACATATAATATTATACTTGGGTAGTTCTAATATCAAACACTCGAGCAACTCCTTCGTCCTCTCAAAGAAGAGTCGATTATGATTTTACCAGAACTTGAATTCGATTCTGTTTATTTAAAAAAAACAAATATGCTAATTTTCATTTTAATTTTCTAACTAACCAAACACAGATTAAAAAGAAAATAGAAAAGGTATAATACCTGAATAGGGTTGAGCTTTCTGAGGTAGAAGGAGTCAGCAGACTCAGGAACACCCCCAATGACTATCGCCATCTTGCCACAAACTTTGGAGTCCCTAATACACGATCTAATCTTCCCCCAATAGCTGTCACTCGCCACGCGATCCTTCAACCAGCCCGAATAATCTTCCAAACGGTACTCCGAATAGGCGCGGTTGGGCACGGTCCGGCCCGAGCCCTTGTCCGTGACGACGTAAGCGAAGATGATGAAGCCGAGTAGTGCGACGATTATGAGGAACATGGCCCACAAATAGACATACATGAGAAAAGTGTTGCGATAGCAGGCTCCGGCGAAGCCCGCTAGAGAGATGACCATGATGGCCACGCCGATGATGATGATAGGCCACTGGAGGAACCGGAGGCAGTCGGTCGTGTTGGCTCGGGTGCTCAGCCATATGCCGCCGCCCAGGATGGGGATTGAGAGGAGGAAAGTTAGGAAGTTCAGTAGCCCGATCACGTGGTTACTATTCCTCATCTGAGAACTCAACTTTTTTCTTTTTCTTTTTCTTTTTCTTTTTTTAATTCTTTCTCTCTGTTTGAAATAAGGGTTGAAAGGAAGGAGTGAAGACAATGTTAGATATAAATAGAGAATGATTATATAATACAGTAGATGGGATATTTAATATAAATAGAGAATGATTATATAATACAGTAGATGGGATATTTAATATATGTGGCATATTATGAAATAAATATCTTTTATAAAGTTAATTTAAGAGTAATCGCATAATATATAATAAAATATTATAAATTAATTCAAATGTAGACGACGAATTTTTATGATCAATAATGCTACATATTCCTAAAAAATATAACTTTCACAATATCTATTCATTTGTGATTAGTTCAAGAAAAAAAAAAAACACAAAATAAAACAAAACAAAATAATAATACTTGGGACCCTCAAAATTTGTGAGCTCCATAACTTCTAATTGATTTGTGAACACTCATTGTGGGTGCTTGGGAAGTGAGTTTTTATGGAGATTTTTTTAGTTATAGGATATTATTAGATAAAAAAAATTTTGGTGTTTGGAAAGATAGCATTGTGGGTGTTTGAGAAGTGAATTTTTTTGTAGATTTTTTTAGTTATAGGATATTATTGAATAAAAAAATTTTAGTATTTGGAAAGATAGTTAGGTTTTTTTGTGGTTAGATGTGATGTTTGTAAGAGAAAAAATGTAATGATTATGAGATTGGATGTGATATTTTGTTTGGATTTATTTTTTTTGATTTTACAAAAAATTTGTCTTTTAGTGAAAAAAAAAAAAAAAAAAACCACAGAAAATTTTCCCCAAACACCGCCATAATCACGCCAAACACCGCCAGTATTTTTTTTATTTTTTTCCCTTTCTCCCCTCCCTCTCTCTCACAAAATGTGTGGCGGTATAGGGGTCCTGGGATTTTTATCACTACTAAAAACAAAAATATATTATTAGTCCACATTATTTTGAGTTTATGAGAGTCTCTAACTTTTGGGATATTTTTGTTTTAAGATATTCCTTTTATATTTTGAGAAGATAATTAAAAATTAATTTTTTGATTTTTTTTTTTTAAATATGTTAAAAAAATATGAGATGATATAACTTTAAATGAATTAAAAATTAAAGCATTAAAAAAATTACATCATCTTTCACATTTTGTACATACTTTTTTAAAAAACATAAAAAATTAACTTTGTAACGATGTTTTCAAAACAATCCATTGTGTCTATTATTATTATTATTATTCCACTTTATCATTGTTAAAATGTTAAGGAAAATGCTTCGGACTCCAGTGGGGTGCGGGAGTCGGCTGTGATTGGTTCAAATTTTATTTTTTTATTTTCAACCAATAAGAGACTGCCATGTCACTGAAAAGGCCACTGGAATCACCCCATTGGAGGTCGGAAGCATTGTTGAAATGTTAAGAAAAATGTTTGGGAGCACTAATTAGTGCTCTCACTAATTAGGTGGCAGTGGGTCCCGTCATTAATGATGTGATGTTTTGGTCTTGAAGTTGTATTTTTTTTTTTTTTACTTTTTTAATACATTAATACTATTAGTGGTGATGTTTTTAGTGGGATGAATCATTGTTGAAATGTTAATACGAAAGTTCTTTTTGGCTGCAACATTAATTGAGGGGCTTTAAATGCATCTCTTATTGTACCTATCATTAACTGAGTAGCATTTAAAAAGCCAATTTTTTTTTGATTTTTTAATTTTTTTTTAAGCTAAAAAAGGCAAAATTTTTTACCTAAAATAACTTAATTTTTTATCAAAAAAATCATAAAAAGAAGTTAAAAAGTCAAAAAATTAATTTTTTACCAATTTCTCAAAATATTCTTGAATGTGCCTATTTTTGTCATCAAATTTGTTTAATAGTTTAGATCAAACGTATCAATTAATATATTAATTAATATATTAATAAATGACATGATATCATTTTAAAAGTTTTAAATATTTATAATTTGTATAATAAATTAGATCAATAATAATGTCATAATATTAATTAGTACATTAATTAGTACATATAACACCACCATTAATAATAATATAACTCAGTTCAATGAGAATCAGTTTTCAATAATTTTTATTTCAAATACTTGACCTATTTCAAAAATCTACTTTAACCAATTTAGGTGGGAAAAAAAAAAATCTTCAGTCTTTCATCTTTTAATAATTTTAAATGTAAGTGAAGAATGATTGTTAAAAATTTGATTGAAGATTTGATCCATCCCTTATTTGATCAAATATTTTTGTAAAAATTTGATTTCATACAAGTTTGATGAATGGATTAGATATCATTTTTATCAAAATTTTCATCATACTAAGTTTGACGAAGAATTTGATGAAGAGTGATAAATGCTTAAGATCCCATTTTTCAGTATGGCTTGTGTCCGTTAGTATTTCAATTGAAAAGATTACACTCTTTATAATCTCAATACAATCTTCTTATATTTCAAAAAAATCAAATAACTGTATAATTAGTTCAATATTTTGAAAGTATAAAAATTTCTTTAGAACTAATCAGACAGTTATAAAATGAGTAAACAAACACAATTTCTAAGAAACTTTCAAAGTATACAAATACAAACTACTAAATTACAATTACTTCTAAATTGACAAACTACTGTTAGAGAAAATATGTGATTCCACACAACTAAATCAATCAATGAAAATAAAAATTAATGCGGAAAAATTAAATCAAAAGCAACACAAGAATTTTACGTGATTCCCTCAATGTGAGATACGTCCACGGGATCGAAATCCGATTCCACTATCAACCAAATAAGTTTCAAACGATTACAAACGAGACACGAATGGTCTCACAAAATCACCCTTAGGTGAATTTTAAATAATCACAAATAAACAAGAGGAAAGACCTCACCAAATAGATGAATAAAAATCTTCGAAACCAGAGTTGAAGAAGATCTAAAATAATATACGCAAATCAATACCGAACACCAAACACCGAAGCAGAGCAGCAAGCAAGGTATTGAATTTGACCAAGTCAAATACACTACAATAATTCACACCAATTGAAACCCACCAACTTGAATTTATCCTTTTGCTGCTGCCGTTGAACACATAAACCAACATATATATATATATATATATATATATATATATATATGTTGTTGATTAATGGGCTTTTCTATCAAAAAAAACTCTACTTGTAACCAAATTGAATTGGGTCTCTAAAAATTAGATATAATATATTAAAATATATTATACCTAAACCAAATCAAATTAAACTCTTTTAATAAATCAATTAGGTCTCAAACTCTAATAAGGAGATATACCTGAACAATTCTCCCCCTATCGACTTCGGTGGAGACATCAACCATACCCGCCAAAGTTCGACACTTTAAATATTTGTCCCTCGACAAAGTCTTAGTCAACATATCCGAAATATTATCATATGTGTGAACCTTTTCGAGTTGTAACAATTTCAAATCTAACACATCACGAATCCAATGGTATCTCACATCAATGTGTTTTGATCTCGAATGAAAAGTAGAATTTTTACTCAAGTGAATAGCACTTTGACTATCACAATAAAGCACATACCTTTCTTGCTTCAAACCCAACTCTTGCAAAAATTTCTTCAACCATAACTCTTCTTTGCAAGCTTCCATAATGGCAATAAATTCAGTTTCGGTAGTTGAGAGAGCAACACATTTTTGTAATTTAGATTGCCATGCCACAGCTCCTCCTGCAAATGTCATCAAATACCCCGAAATAGATTTTCTAGAATCAACATCACCGGCCATGTCAGAATCTGTGAACCCATCAAGCATTGGCTTACCATCCCCAAAACACAAAGACACCTTCAAAGTCCCTCGAAGATACCTTAGAATCCATTTTACCGCTGCCCAATGTTCTTTACCGGGATTAGAGAGAAACCGACTCATCACACCAACGGCGTGAGCAATATCCGGCCTTGTACAAACCATGGCGTACATCAAAGAACCAATTGCTGAAGCATAAGGAACTTTCAACATCTCTTCCTTATCTTTCTCACTTGTAGGACATTGATTCGAACTAAACTTGAAGTGACCCACAAGTGGACAACCAACCGGCTTCGCTTTATCTATGTTGAACCTCTCAAGAACTTTCTCAATGTAGCTTTCTTGAGACAACCAAATCAGTCCCTCTTTGCGATCACGAACAATTTTCATACCAAGTATTTGCTTTGCCGGTCCAAATCTTTCATAGCAAAAGATTTGCTCAACTCCAATTTCAACCTGTTTATCATGGTAGAATCTTGACTCACAATAAACATGTCATCAACGTAAAGCAAAAGAATAATAAATTTGTCATCCGAAAAATTTTTCACAAACACACAATGGTCCGAAGTAGTTTTACAAAAACCATTATTCATCATGAAAGAGTCAAATTTTTTGTACCATTGTCGCGGAGCTTGCTTGAAGCCATACAAACTTTTATTCAATTTGCAAACAAATTTCCCTTTTCCTTTTTCCACAAAACCTTCTGGTTGTTCTATGTAAATTTCTTTTTTAAGGTCACCATAAAGAAAAATGGTCTTCACATCAAGTTGCTCAACTTCAAGGTTCATACTTGCAGCCATGCCAAGTACAACCCGAATAGAAGACATCTTCACAACCGGCGAAAAAATCTCATCAAAGTCAATACCTTTCTTTTGCCCAAAACCTTTCACAACAAGACGTGCTTTGTACCTCAGATTCTTGCCATCATTCTTCAATTTGAAAACCTACTTATTTTTCAGAATTTTCCTCCCCTTAGGCAACTTCACTAAATCAAAAGTGTGATTTTCAAGTAAGGAATTCATCTCCTCTTCCATGGCCTTTTTCCAATCACTTTTCTTTGCATGCTCAATTGCTTCTTGGTAGCTCTCGGGTTCCCCTTGATCAGAAATCAACACAAACTCATTGGGAGGATACTTTCTTGAAGGTTGTCGATCCCTTGTAGATTTCCTCAACTCAAGTTGTGGCGGTGATTCTTAAGTTGGATGCACTTCCTCAATTTCTAGCTCAACTTCATTAGGATTACCATCATCCTCCATATCTTTAATAGGTGGTTGCACATCTCTCTCATTTTCATCATCAAC